AAAATTTCTTCTACCAGTCCTTTATCACCTTAAACGAAATTGGGTGAATACATCTCTTTGAATTAGCCGAACCTTCAAGCCACGGTGTAATTTACTACAGATGGAGACAAGCACGATCCCATGGTTAGATCTCGAGTGCACTCATATGATTTACCAGTAAAAATAAAATATGGCAATTTTTTAAGCAAATGACCCCTTATTAATTGTATACAATTAATAACATTGGATTATTTTATTTTTTATTTATACTTGGTCGCATGGTTGCATGAAGTCGGTATTTTTCCTAATTGTATCAGCTCCAACGGGAGTCAAGTTGTTAACATCGTATAAAGAGGGGGCTTGGTGGAATAAAGTTGAAACGCATTTCTGTGCATACGGAAAATTAGTAGTATATTTATCTTTAATTTCCATCCTAATATTGAAGATTGACCAGAACCTATATGGTGGTTGTGTCAGGAGCACTTCATTCATCTACAGCATAGACCCTGTATGGGTCTCACAACAATCACGATGGATTAACAGCCTTCTACTCGAGTCCTTTTGAGAGGGCTGGTGAGATCTGGTCGAAGTCAAAAGCGCAACCCGACCATAACGGGAAGGAATTTTGGAAACTTTAAACATGCACCAATTCTGACTCTAATAAAAACTTAGGACAATTATGATCCAAGTTGGCCTAAGGAGGTGACAAGATTTTGCATAGAGAAGGATTGGTTCAAGCATCCCAAAATATTGTGCTCATCCAAACTAAGTTGCAGTCTCAGCCTCACTACGGCCCCCGAGAGTTAACATGTGAGCTAAACGGTAAACGCATCACTCTTTGCAAATGAATGTCTTGCTAGAATTACAACTTTGCTGGAGACATTTCGCTTACGTAGAATCGCTATAAAATTCATAACTACGATTGGATTACGCAACAAGGTTGCTGGTAGCTACGACTAAGTGGTCATTAAAAGGATTTTTATGGTGCGCAACTCAAACCGGTCTCTTATGGATATTGTCCTCTACCTTTGTAGTGACCTATACCCACACTTTTCCCATTCAATGTTTAGTTATTTTACATCCCATACGTAACCATGGCTCGATATACTTTATCGCAGAGATCACATAAGTGCGTGACTAATCTTGACTCTTTATTTCACATCGCCCAACCAAAGCTTGGCACCGCCTCGTCCAATCAGAAGTTGACATGGAAAACTACGCAAAGGTATAGGAAATAGCTAACATTCTTCAATCGACGGTATGAAGACCAAAATGGTGTGGCCTTTTGTGTGATCGCAGTCTCCTTTCATTGTATAGAAGTTGTTTGACCTTGTTTTCGCAA